AAAAGTGATATCAACTCAAGGCGGATGGAAATCCCAGCCTTGAGGACATTGATTAGTAAGGACAGAATTCCAAAGGAAAGCACAACGGAGAGGCCAGGTAGCTCCAGAAAGAGATGGAAGAGATGGAGGGAATAGCCTTTGGTTTCCTAATGGCTTTTCGGTTCCTATGAGGCTCAGCTCTCCCTTCTTCAGTGAGATTTCATGAGTCTTCTCTTCTGAGATTTGTACTTGAGCAGTCAACACCCCCTGGTTCCACAGAAGGGCTGAATGTGTGGAACCCACTGATTGGATATAAGAAACTGCCAAAGGTCATTCAGACATGCCTTTAATCAAAACAACTGACTCCTGAACAACAGATTAGATTAACTGTTTGGTTTTAATAGAAAGTAGTGTTTGGTCATTGATCCCATTTGAGCCAGATCCAGGAAAACACCTCAGTATTATGCCCTTTTACTCAGAGCACCGTAGTGGTATGTAGTGGTAAACCATTATGAAGAGTTCCCTGAAAAATACATATGTCTGGGGAAATAAAATTCCAAAAGCTGTCAATAAAATGAACTGCAGTGGAAGTTCTCTGAGGCTTGTGTTGGTTTCTAGGCTAAGGCCACCTGCTTGCCTTCAGGTGGTGGACTTCTAGGCATGTACTTATTTGCAGGGCTAACATAAAGGACACTTTAGGCTAGCACCACCCACTTTGTAGAAAACAGGGGCATCTGGTCAACAATCTAAACACAGTGTTCACCCAAAAGATCTGTGTAAAAAGCATCTGTGTAAAAAAAACAATCACTTTCATCCAAGCATCCTTTCTGAATATTCTAGGCTTGCTGGTACTTAGCAACATCATTTTGCCATCACCAAAGCCTCTAAAATTTAATTCAGGGAAGTCTATGAAAGGAGTATTGCATTTGAGGAATATGTATATGGCCTGTGCATTAATTGGCATCTTGGGACTGCTCTGGGGCACAGAGGTCAAAGTTTAGTGATGCATGGAGTTGTCGTCCTAATGGTAAGTATTGATTAGTAGCATAAAAAACAACCAGCAGGCAGAGACCCGACGCCAGACTCCTGAAGAAGGAGTATCTTTTCCATACAGCCTTGAAAAACAATTCATGGAACACTCAAGCTCACAATACAGAAAGGCACTGAGATAGTGAATGATTACTTCAGCAAAATAAGTGGAAAATGATAAATAACATCGTGCAGTATCTGCATAACTATGATACTTAGTAGGAAAGTACTGAAAACCAATAAATATTATATACATATAAATATATTAGTTATCTATTACTGCTATAACAAATTACTCCAAACTTAGTGACTGAAAGCAACACAAATTTATTATCCTGCACTTCTGTAGATCCAAAATCCCTTGGCTGGACTGGTTTCTCTGCTCTGGGTTTCGTGAGGCTAAAAACCAGTGGTCAGCAGAGCTGAGTTCCTTTCTGGAGACTTCTGGGATGACTCTCTTCCATGCTCATTTCGGTTATTGGCTGAATTCAGTTCCTTACAGAGGTAGGACCGAGGTCTTTGAGAGACGGAGCAGAGGGCAACAGAGAACAAGCATACCCACAAAGAGTGAGAGAGCCTGAGATGGAAGCCACAGTGTTTTTTAAAAAACTATCTTCACCATTTTTAAGTGTACAGTTCAGTAGTGGTAAGTATATTCTCAGTGTTGTACATCAGATCTCCAGAACTTTTTCACCTTGCATGGAACAACACCTCATCCCCCCTCCAATCAGCTCCTGGCTACCACTTTCTACTTTCTGTCTCTATGAATTTGATTGCTCTAGGGACCTCGTATGAGTGGAACCATATGGTATTTGTCTTTTTGTGCCTGGATTACTTCACTTAGTATAATGGCTAAGTTCATCCATGTTGCAATAAGATTTCCTTCTTTTAAAAGGCTGAATAATATTCCACTGCATTGACCATGGTGGGTTTTTTTGTTTGTTTGTTTTACCCATTCACCTGTCAATCAACATTTGGGTTACTTCCACCCTTTGGCTGCTCTGGGCATTTCATACAAATGTGAATAGTGCTGTTGTGAATATGGATGTGCAATTATCTCTTCAAGATCCTGCTTTCACTTCTTCTGGATATGAACCCAGATGTGGGATCTCTGAATCAGACAAAAACTTTATTTTTAATTTTTGAGGACTCTCCATACTGTTTTCCATACCATCTGCACCATTATACATTTCCAGCAGCAGTGAGTATATTTTGCCCATTTCTCCACATCCTCACCATTACATGTTATTTGCTGTTTTCTTTCTTCTCTTATAGTGGCCATCCTAATGAGTGTGCTGATATTTCATTGTGGTTTTGATTTGCATTTCTCTAATGATTAGTGATGTAGAGCATCTTTTCATTTGCTCATGGTCATTTGTGTATCTTCTTTGAATGGAAGCCACAATTTTTTCCTTTTAAAAACCTGATATTGGAACTGATAACCCTCACTTTGGTTTTATTCTATTCATTGGAAGTGAGTCAATAAACCCAGTCCACATTCAAGAGGAACAGAATACCAGGAAGCAGGGATCATGGGGGTCATCTAAGAGGCTGCTGACCATGCACGGAGTCTCAGGGGTCCATGCAGGATGGCCCAATTCTTTCATGTACCTTTCCTAAACTTCCCTTTTGATAAGAATCACTTGGGGAGTTTATCAAAAAACACTTCTTAGGTTTCTCCCCTGGAGGTGCTAAATCATTAGATCTTGGGTAGGACCAGGGAATCTGCTATTTTAAGCAAGTACTCGGGATTTTTTTTTTTTGTTAAGATGTAATTCACATGCCATAAAATTTGCCCTTTTCAAATGTACAACTCAGTGGTTTTTAATATATTCACAAAGTTGTGCAACCATCACCACTTTTGGAGAACACTTCATCATCCCATTAAAAAAACCCTACCCATTAGTAGTCACTCTGCCTTCCTTTCTCCCTCCAAACCCCTGACAACCACTGATTGACTTTCTGTCTCTAAGGATTTGTGTATTCTGGGCACTTCATACAAATGGAATTGTGTGATATGTGGCCTTTCATGTCTGGCTTCTTTCACTAAGTATGTTTTCAAGGTTCAGCCTTGGGGTAGCAAGTGTCAGTACTTTATTACTTTTTAAGGCTCAATAATATTCCATTGTATGGCTATAGCACATTTTATTGGTCAATTCATTCACTGATGGACCCAGGAGATTCTTACCATATAGGAAGTTTGAGAAAGGCTGAAAACTAAATTTTACAGGGAGATGAAAAGCAGATCATGTGCCTCAGGTGCTTGTAAGAAATATAGGTTTCTAGGTCCAACACAAATCTCCTGAATTAGACTTAGGGGAAGGCCCAGAAATCTGTATTTTAAACAAGCTTCCCCAAGAGACTGTTTTTCACACTGACACTCAGCTTTGGTGCAGAAATGAGGTAAGGTGGGCTGCAGGAAAAATGATTATTCTGTCTAAGAACATGATTCCCAAAGGGCACTCTTTCAATGGTTTTTAAAGGTAACGTGATGAGATGGCATTTTAACATTTAGCAATATGACTATGATAAAAAGACCCGAACAGAAGCCACATGAACAGAAAATCTTGAGGCACATAGAGGAGGTAGTCAGAAATTGTGCTATTACTGTTTTTTCTGTTTACTCCTTCTGTAGGCCCTGCCCCCTGGCCAGGCACAGCTCAAGATCAGCTTTGGATGTAAGAATTTAACTAAGTAGTTCTGATGCCACAGGTTCTTACTAAAGAGGTAACACCCTTAGACTCTGTTTATCTTGTCCAGTGGCTCCCAAACGCAGCTAGTTGACCCTACAATCAATTATCTTCCAGGATTCTTTGTAAAATCCTGCTTTCCAATACTCATTCCAGCCCCCACACCAAAGGTTTACATAGGATAGCTCTGGGACCTTGGGTCGGGTCGCTCTGCAAAGCTCTCCACGTAAATCTGATGGTTAGCCAGATTCAATAGCCACTGGCCCAACACCCTCATTTTTAGGAGCAGAAAACTGATACAACATCAGACAGCTCCACGCGAGAACACTGCCTAGAACTTAGGTCTCCTAAATCTTCATCAATATTTTTCAAGCCTGTGTTGTCAAAATGTCTAATCATCGGAGTAAAAACCCAATGGAATTTGAGAATTCGGTTGTTGTACAAGCCTATACACAACTTTACTGTCAGGATTTAGGTCAGTTCTTGGTGGTGTGAATGTTAGTTGGCCAATATTACATTGTGAAAGAATGAACGTCGTGGAAATTATCGTTACCGAGTTAATACCATTGGGAATCGGCAGCTATTACTATTGTAATTTGGGCCGTATCTCCTGGTTTGATTACCATTAAGATTTAGAAATTAGAAAATTTTGACTTTAGCCATATCACAAATATGGATAAAATTCTAACTCACATATATTTACCATCAACCTGGAAATCAAACCTTTCCAGCTCAGTGGTTCACCCATCTCACTGTGTATTAGAATCACCAGGGGAGTGTTTAAAAATACACCCTTGCCCAGCCCTGACCCTCAAGACCTCAAAAAATAGAATCTAGGGCCAGAGCCTGGGCTTATGTATTTTTCTTTTATGGTAATTTAAAGTTTATTCAGAAATTTAAATTACAAAGCTTATGTAGCCCTCTTTTAATGAGAAGAGTTTCTGCCAGCAATTTAAGATTCTTGAGTTGATAAAAAATTCAAATAGTGTAGGGCAAGCTTAAATGAGTGGTAGTGCATTTGTCACAGAAGTAGCTCTACATATAAAATACGAAAATATAATCTCAATATAGTACTCACAAGACTATCCCAGAATTTATTCAATTCGTAATTATTAAAACTCACCAATATTTTCCTTAGAATTGAAAAGCATACAATGCTGGTATAGCATAAACACATTTATTTACTAACAAAAGGGATGATCTTAAGTAAACCAACACTTCGAAATAGTTGTAAAATGTTTGTGATAAAGATAGTTGAACACAATAAGGAAAAAAAGAAGCAGTATGAAGATTTGCCCATTGAACTGAGCTTGTTCATCCTTGCAGCTAATTCCTGTCCAAAAAAATAATCACGGAATTTTTACTCTACTTTTTCATAGGCCCAAGTACAGGTGACATTGTTCATGATGCTTTCCACCACTAATGTCCCATCTCGCAGTTTTCTTGTTACTGTGCGTTCCTTTCCATCCCACTCCTGATGTTGAACCAACGCGCCATTTGCAAAGTTGCAGACAGTCTGAGTTTTTCTGCCATCAGCTGTAGTTTCTTCAAACTTCTCTCCCAGGTTACAAGAAAACTGTGATGTTTTCAAAGTGCTTTCAGTTTTTATGGTGAGGTTTTTGCCATCAGAAGAGATGATACAATCTGGTTTGGCCATTGCACCCACTTTTCGCAGAGCCATTCCCACTCCTACTTCCTTCATGTATTCGTCGAAGCCTTTGCTCTCCACTAAGAGCCATCTTCCTACGAACTCCTGAATGGCGGCCATGGTGGGCGTGCGAGCGGCGAGCGAGCCGAGGAGAGTCGCGCCGAGAGCTTGACTTTGGGCTTATATATTTTTAAACAAAGCTTCCCAAGTTATTCTGATGCATAGCCAGGGTTGGTAACACTATTCTAGCTCCTTAGATATCTAATAAAATGAGAGTAATCAGAAAACTCTCAGTTTCAAATCATACTCCTGAGAAACATTCTCACCCCAAATGCGCTCATGAAGGATTTCATTCTGTATTCCTACAGCCTAGAATTATAATCAGTAACATTTGTGCACCACTTTATAATTTAGTAAGTGCTTTTACATACATCTCACCACCCAGTTATGATGATTTATTACGTGTCTATCGTACCTTTTTTGCTACAAGTTCAAGGTAGTGGATTCCCCTGCCCATTCTAAAAAGGATGCCCTAAATGAGGCTTTTCTTAGAATTTTAAGTAAGGCAAAGGAAAAAAAATGTCAGGAAACAGGGCAGAAATCTTTTCCACTGGAAAACCCGAGCTGTATGTATGGACACTAGGGAATATGCCCTTGAGATTGTACTAAATTCAGCCTCAGATCACAGACCCTTGGGGTCGAATAAATGAGAAAGGAACGGCGGGGGGGGGGGGACGGGGGGGGGGCGGTAGGCGGGGTTCTAGACCAGTGCTTTTCAAATTCTAAAGTATAGATGAATCAACTGGGGATCTTGTTAAAATGCAGATTCTGTTTCACTAGGTGTCTGGTTGGATTTGAGATTCTACGCTTTTAACAAGCTCCCAGGTGACACCAGCACTGCTGGTCTACAGATCACATTTTGAGTAGAAAGATTCTAGAATTAGGGAGGACAGGCGGTTGGAGAGAGGTCAGGAGATCTGTACCCCAACTCCACCCCCAGAGCCTGCCACCAAATTACCAGGAGACTTTGAAGAAGTCACTTCACCCCTCAAAAATCTTACATTTCTCATCCTTAAAATGGGGTCGGGGATTAGTCTAGATCAGAGATGACAAATACTTAACTCTTGTGGTTCCTGAATGCTGGGAGACAGAAAGACAAGATCCTAGAGGCAGAATGGGCATGATTTCTAGTCCTACTGTCCAGAAAATGCAGGTGGTATCTTCAGGAAGCACCCTGGCTAATTCTAAGTTGTTGCCTGTTGCACACTGACCTGGTAACTCTTATATGGATCTGACTGTCAAAGCAATTAGGTTTAGAGAGCTGGACTCTATATTTAAGTTCTGATGGGGAAAGAAGTTGCCACAGTGAAGCCTGGAGCACCCAGAGCCTCTTTGACAAGAATGATGCCAAAAGGAAGCAAAGGAGTCGAGCAGACTGGCAGGGGGCAGGGGACCACAGGGGACACACTTCACCCACTTCCCAATGTCCTGGTCCTGGATTACCATCTGAACCTTGGTCTTCGCAGGATTTCAGATTCAGCGCCCAAACCTGGACTCCGACTAGAGAAGGAACCTCTCCGGCTCAACCCAGGCAGAAGAAAGGACACCTCTGTAGGGAGAGCCTGCCTACATTCTCCCTAAGGGCACAGGCATCCTTCTCAGCCCTGATTCGCCAGACTGGAGCTAGGCGTGTGCTCCTGGGACGTCCAGGGGGCCCCTTGGCCTCTGCCTATAGTTGCGCTTAGTATCATCTGTTCTCATGAGGAGATGGTTCTCTGTCAGTGAATGGGTATGCTGTTCAGTGAAAGGCCATCCGTAGGCAGAATTTATCAATGCATTCCTCCTGCAAAAGCCTTGGAGGCTGTGTGCCTGTCACTGCCTTCAGATTTTCAAAGTTAAAGGAGATAGCCCAGGTAGGAAAATTACATATTTTTAGGCACAGCCAATGTGCCAAGGCACTGCGCTAGTAACTCTCACTTTTTTCTCATTTAAGCAGCACAATACTGCAAATTTATGTTCCTCGTTCCATTTCACAGATGAGGAAACTGAGACCCAGAGAGGTCCAAAAACTCCTGCAACTCACTCAGCTTAAATGTCGATGACTGGCAGTTGATTCCCAGTTCATCTGACTCCAAGTCTAGTGCTTATAACATGGGCCCAGACTGCCTCCTACACCCTATATTTGGAGGGCGGACTCTTCAGAAGCTGCGACTGAGGAAATGTCAATTTTATTCCCTCTCTCTATGTCAGGACAAACCAGGCACACAACACAGTAGAACACTTCTTGTAGGTCTTGGAAGAAGAGATGTGAACCTGGTTCTTCAGTCTCCCGGTGGTGGAAACCTGACTGGGCATCCCAAGTTATAGGCAGATGTCATTGGGAAGGTGCCTGGGAGTCTGACTATCCCCTTAAATGGGGTCTAGTTCTTTCTAGACACAGATCGTGAATGCCCTTAGCAACTATCCTGTGTATAGCCCCAGACCCTGCAGTCCAAACATGATTAGAGCACTGCAACCTGCCAGACAGACAGTGAGGCAGGTGCCGGAAGGTGGCTGCAGGTGAGCAAGGTGGATGCGGCCCCCGCTCTCAGGCTGAGCATCTGGTCAGGGAGGTGCAGGGGAGACACTCACAAAGAGACATTTCATGTGTAAGGAAAATGACAAAAGGGAGCCATGGAGAGCCCTGGGAGGACACAAGGACCCAAACTCTCAGCCAATAGCTTTGAGGGCCAAATGGCTTGAATTCAACTTAACCTTCCCCTGCTTAAGAGGAACCTGAATAAACCAGGTGAGCTACACCTGCATCCGAGCCACACTGCCCTGTCTTCTCTTTGAAGAAACCCTCTTTACTAAGGTTGTAATAAATTCTCTGCCAACTTAGCTCACTGCCAATGTGCCAAGGCTCTCTTGGTCTGGGCAGAGAAGCACCAGGTATGCGCACATGGGTGGGCACATGCGTACATGCACACACACACAGACATACACACAGACACACACACACACACAGACACACACACACACACACACACACACACACACTCTGACCTCATGTTTCCATCAGTTTGCCCTGAAGATGCAGTTAATGTGCTTTAAAATCGTGCCCTTTGTTCTTTGGGGAATACACTCTGATATTAACAGTAGGAGATCTGGGTAGTAGAATTATAGGAGAATGTCTTTTCTTTCGTCCTTCCCTTTTAAAAAATTATTTTATTTTGTAGGTTTTCCATAGTGAGCATGCGTCATCTGTGTAATTAAAAAAAGAGAGAGAGATGAGATCTCTTTTGCTCTACTACAACTGCTTCCTATTCATAGATAAGGAGGCATGTGGTGTCTGGCTTGGTAGCAGCTGTGTGGTATGATGGCAAGGCCACCGAGCAAGGAACCACAACACATGAGTTCAGTTCCCAGGCTTCCAGAACTTTCTAACTTTGGGATATTGGGCAAGTCACTTAACTTCTCTGAACCTTCATTTTCTCATTTGCAGCATAGTGCAGTAATCTTCCCCAGAAGATGAAACTGATGCAAAAATGTCAAGTGGGATTATCATTATAATTATTCATGCAACCAAAAATTGGCCAATTTCACAGTTGTGTAGAAAGAAGGAAAAAGGGGTTCTGGGAATTGTAACAACCTCAAGCTACTAACCACCCAGCCAAGTCACCCCCTATTTCCTGACCCACAGAAACTATGTGAGAGAATAAAAGTTACTTTAAGCTACTAAATTAGGGCCTATCTGTTAAACCGCAGTGGATAATCACCCAGACAACTGACAGCCACCTAGGAAGGTTAGGGACCCCCATGGCTTTAGGTAGAGCAATTCATTCCAAGCCAGTTTAAGTCTCTGTTGGTCCTGGGGGTGGTAGCCAGCCACGGATGGCCCCCAGAGATTCTCATCTGGTAATCATGCTCTCAGTTCTCTCCCCCAGTGAGTGGGGCTCACCTGTGCATCCAGTAGAACATTGTAGAAAGAGAACATATGATTTTGGAGGGTGCATAACAAAAGACATTATGACTGCCTCACACTCTCTTGGGTCCCTCGCTCTAAGGGGGAGAGGAAAGCTAGCTGCCATGCCATGGGGACACTCAGGTGAGGTGCTTGGAGCGGGGAACCAAAGCCTCCTGCCAACTGCCAGCACAACCTGCCAGCCACATGCTTGAGCCACCTTGGAAGCAGATCCTCCAACCCAAACCTTCAGGTGACTGCAGCCAGGGTCACAACGTGAGCATGCCTCTTGAGCAACCTCAAGCTACTAACCACCCAGCCAAGTCACCCCCTATTTCCTGACCCACAGAAACTGTGTGAGAGAATAAAAGTTACTTTACTCTATTAAATTAGGGCATATCTGTTAAACCGCAGTGGATAATCACCCAGACAACTGACAGCCACCTAGGAAGGTTAGGGACCCGCATGGCTTCAGGTAGAGCAATTCATTCCAAGCCAATTTAATTTGCTTTCATGATGAAGTGACTGGGCTTGTGAATGGGGGAGGCATCGGGAGCCATAAGCGTATCTCTCCAACCTCAGGAGGGCTTTTAATTTGATACCACATGCTGCTCTCATCAATGAGCAGGGAGAGAGGGGCTTAGTGGTGGTTCTTACATTTGGCCCCAGGAGAATGGATGCCAGGGGTAATCCAGGACTTGAAGGAGGGGAGGATCATGGATACCAACACCAAAACCACTACCACGAGTAATAGTAATCCTCTTCACTCCTACTCATATTAACACTGCTAGTACTCATCACCTAGATGCCTCCCCGTTGGAGAGCCCCAAGTTCTTTGGAATTTAGTAATCACCCTTTCTTTTAATAAACAAGGAAAATGGTTTTCACCTCCACTGTAGTGCTTTGACATGTCTCTTTCAAACACTCCACTGATTTCCAGAAAGATCTACCTTCTTTAGTCAGTGGAGGCTGCAGGTTTGATCACTAGTGCCCCTGGTGTAACCACCACCCTCTGCTCTTGAGGTTGCCGCCCCTGTCCCTCTCATCCCCCCACCACATTACCGCTGGACCAGCTCGCTGCCTCCATGTCCCAAAGTGCCATGAACACAAGGCCAGTCCCTGAAAGCTCATAGATAATGGGAAGGGTGTTATGGTCCAACTCAGCCCACCAGCGACAGCAGATTCTATGGCAGCTTGGCCCTTGA